CCATTTAATAAAGACAGAGTCATTTGAATTAATTTTGTCTCCAGACCTTTTTTTTTTATTTTAAATTGTCAATGAATTACATTTTGTAACAATCTTTAAACATTTGTAGAGAACAAACACTGTGGTTAAAATGAGTGTCTTTATGACGTCTCTCACACCGTTGATATTTTTTCACAAAATGTGTTACAGTAGCATCATTTTTTATCACATCATCTTGATACAGTGATAACACATCTTCGTAAGACAGCCCAGACGCTCTTTTACATAGGTAAAAAACACAATGCTGACCACAGGCTGTAGACAGGATATTTTGAAGCTGATGATTATGGTGTAATATAGTTTTACATTGTTTTTCTAGAAATTGTAGAATGCTTTTAGGATAATGACTAAAATTGGGAGGAAATCCGAAAGAGTCGAAAAAAGTCCCCACATTGTCTCCTTCTAAAGTCACTGCTAGCCAGTGTTCCCCTGGCATGTGGGAGGGGTGGGTATTTACAATCATGTATACGGGGTATCTGAATAATTGTTTTACTTGGGGTAGCTGATCTGACGCCCATACACCCCCAAACGAGTCCCCCACCATATGTCGCAGGAGACTGTCCAATTGATGATTATTCATTCTGTAATATTTTTCTTAGTAATAGTCTACCAGCACTTGACGTTTTGAATTAATCTCCAGAATTGAATCAAAACACGAATATACGATTAAAGTTGTAGTCTGGGGCAGCGGTACTCGGAATCTCATTTCCAGTCTTAAACTACCGCTGGTGATTGGTGATAATGCGTCAGCATCTTCCCCTGCAGTGAGATTAAATACGAATAAGGAGTATCCTTGTTCAAAGTCCTCTCGGTCAATACTCAGAGGGAGATCTTTCATGTGTCTCCCTGTAGCGGTGAACATATTGTAAAACTCTCTGACTGAAGACCCCCGGTTAAATTGAGGTTGGAATGCTTTGGCCGGTACTTGTCTGCCGTCCTGACACAAAGCCAGATATTCCATATCATTATGAAGGAAATTAAAAGGTGAAAGAGTTCTCCTTCCTGTGAACGCTTCGTGATTTACCATACCCAAAACTATGTATTTCGGCATATTACCCAGAAAGAGATTTTCTTGATTACATATTCTGGAATTCACCGGAATGCTGTATGTTTTGATATTTACACGAGATAGAGGGTAGAGACCGTTGCCTCTCATCAATGCAGCTGCATGACCTAGACGCACGGCTGGGGCAATGGTCGCTTTCTTGATAAAAAGCGAGGCCCCCAGTATTTTTAGACGGTATGTGGAGTCATTTGCACACATGAGCGTAAAGGCATCGTTAGATCTGGTGAGTTTGATTCTCAAATCTACAGAGTTCAGGAGAAGCCTCTCGCTGAAAAATATATCGGTATGCAAAGCCCCCATCAGATGAAGCTCTCGAGACTCTGCGGTAAACACCGCTCTCTTTACGAGACCCTTGTTTGGCCCATTGGCGATCACTACAGAGTCCATAGCTCCTGCAGTGTCTTTATAAAATAAGCCAGCAGTGAATTGAGTTTTTAAAGTAGAATCAGAGTAATTCAATAAAGTTTCAATCATCGCTCTGTAAGGATGTGTCGAACTGGACTGAGAAATCAGCCTGTCCCCTAGAATAACGTCGCATTGACTAAAAATGGTGTTTAGAGGATAATTAACTAGGGCCACGGGAGCATCGACTGCCAGATTAGTCCCATCGGCGTTGGTTATTTTGACCCTGAGATGCATCAAGGTGTCATTCATATCAAGGTATTTATCCCCGTCCCCTGGAATGAAAAACTCAATGGGTCCATCCTCGGTAATGGCAGACAACGGAAGGACCTCTGTGTAGTGTTTTTCATCTATAGAAAGCTGCGTCATGGGAGCCGAAAACAAATCCAACTCTGCCATGCTACATTCAGCAGATTTGTGATGTAAAAGAGCCATATTTAACACTCTAAAATATATCTCTCCCCAGTGTGTTCCTTCTTCGTGGGTGCTTTTTCCCTAATGATTTTCTCTTGGTTGAGCGCTTCCCCTTTTTAAAGCCTGCCGGAACCCGTTTTCCTGGAGGTCTCTTTCTGGCCCTTCTCGCTAAAACCATCAGACCTCCGGATCCTTCTTGAGACCCGTGATCCAATTGGCCGCCATAATTATGGACCGCCTTACTGATTACATCAGATGCAATATTTTTAACCGCCGATTTGAGATGAGGTTTAGCTATGGCAAACCCCCTTCTCACCAACGGTGCTACAAAACGAAATAATCTTGAGAATATAGAACCAATGCCTCGACCGTACATAACTGGTGCTCCATAAAAACCAGGCAATGACCCTCCAGCCTGATTTTCATAGTAGCTAACAAAATGCTGCGGATCCTGATTAATCATCGTTTTGCAAATGATTGCCCCGCTTTTGAAGGTCGGAAATGAAGTTTCACTACACTCTTGCCGTAGGTAAACTTTATTGGTTCGTTCTGATCGTTTTTTATCTCTATCTGTATATTTTCGATGTGCGTTTTTGTTACCGGCAAATAATATGCAGGACTAAAATACTGGGTGATGGTATCACCGAATGTCCCTTTTATATCTACGGTTCTCAGGAGAGGAGCAAACGCGTCACCTACTCTCTGATGACTGACAACGTTACTATAACAGTAGAGATGAGTTTACCTGGTAGCTAGAGCTTGTATTGTTTTGAAAAACATCAAGACTGGCATTGGAAGGCAGCGTAATATAAAACCCTTCATTAATCTCCATGGCAGCAATGAAGGACTGAACGTAAAGTCTGTTGTTTTTATACATCTTTGATCTCCCCAGCATCAACCCAGCTGTTGAATTTCTCGGGCCAGTTCTTCCAGCATACATACATCTGTTTTTTCCCTCTCACCACACGTCTTTTCAGAATTTTCTCAACTTGAAAAGCCTTGTCATTAGATACCTTCACTTTTTGTAACTCTTTCTCATAAAAAGTCCCCTTGATCTCCTCTCCATCATAATCTTTGAGTTTGTAAACAGAGGGCTGTCGAGGTATGCCTTCAGACACCGTAAATAATTCGTCGGTATAACTCTGTTCATATTTTTTATCAAAGACCCCTCTCAGCTTAGATATTCTTACAAGTTCCCCCTCCTTAAAGTTCATTTTCGTAGCAGCTTTTTTACGATGGATGGATGGGGTATACAGGTTACGATACACTTGAGCCGCATTTTCCTTTGTCACCTGCAGAGGCGTCATTTTAATACTTCGGTGATAACTATTATTGTAGCTTTCAATTAGTTCAGGCAAGACGTCTATGTATCTATGCGTGTTTTTAGCTGTAAAATACCTCCACATTTTAGTTTTCAGCGTACGGTTAAATCTCTCTACCACACACGCCTTCATATCACTGGCTGTTGCATAATGTGCAATACCTCGTTTCTTCAATAAGGCTTGAAAAACTTTGTTAAAGAATTCTTTCCCCGCGTCTGTTTGCATCTTTTTAGGAATTTGACTGTGTGTTAAAATTCTATCAAAGGCTTTCGCCACTTCTACACCAGTCTTCTTCTTTATTGCCTGTGCATAGGCTTTTTTCGAAAATACATCTATGACTGTTAACAAATAATTAAAACCGTCATTATGCTTGGATAACGACTGCATATCGCAAAGGTCAGCTTGAAATTGCTGTAGCGGTCTGAGTACGAAAACTCTGTTTCTTACAAAATGTACCCTTGCTGGCTTGTGTAAAGTATAAGCATCTTGTTCAGATAAAAAATCTCTGACTTTCTCTACATTTATCTGTTTACCCATCTCATTCTGTACAGCTCTATGGAGTTTATCAACGCCCCCTAAACTCCCTGGATTAGAAGGATTGTAATACACTCTCTGCATGACACGTTTCTCAGACATGTTCCCTGTTACCGTCCCAATGAGGTAATGAATACAACAGTTTTGTTACAACACATTTTATTGATTTGATGCATATATCAACAACAGATTTTAAAAAACATTTTTCTCCAGGCAGAAAATCAAAAACAATTTAAATCAAAAAACATGATTAGAGAGAAGGACACACTAGATCAAGTAAAATAAAAATAAAAAAAAGTAAAATAAAAAAACATGGTGGTACTTTTTACAGATAAGTTTCAAACTCTTCCTTTCGCTGCCAAAAGTCCCATGCGTCTGCTATATTCTTCAGCTGTGACTCGTCGTTTTCAACAAGCTTTTCGTAAAGCTTGTTGATTTTAACCTCAAAGCGTCTTGTGCTTCTGAGATTGTGAAGAATCGCCTCGGCAGCTCCAAAGATCCTTCTCTCCGACATATGAAGCTTGCTCGAATGTAGAGAACCCCTAATGGCTGGAATGAAACGGTCGGTCCACAGTCTCTTTACCACTTCATCATAGTTTCGCTCCAGAAAATATTCTGGCATCTCAAACAAACACTCATGTTGCACTTGACTGGGATGATCGACTTGACAGCCATAACATTGTTCCTTTCTGTACATGTGTACGACCTTATCCAACAGATGAACCACCACAGCTTTTACCGTATTCAGGAATGAAGCTGTCCTTGCCCCGTCTACAGCATCATACTCTGAAGTATAACCATAGTTATAAGCATAGCATGTCGATCCATCGTCGTCTTCTACCGAGGAGTCTGAAGAAGCTGTTGATTTCCTCGGGGGTTTTGGTGGAGTAGATGGAGGTTGATACACAAGCCCCCAGCCAGTAACATCAACGTCATCGACATCACTGCTGAGCTCGGGGGTCCAGATTGTTGGAGATGATGGCGGTCTGTCAGGAGCTTGTTCCAGGCTGCAATTCGCGGGGAGAGACTTGTTTTTTCTCAGATCCATGGGTTGTTCCAGGCTGTAATTTGCGGGGGGAGACTTGTTTTTTCTCAGATCCAGGGCTTGTTCCATGTCGCAGCTCGCAGGGAGAGACTTGTTTTTTCTCAGATCCATGGTTAGTCTTCAACGGTTGTCCTAGTGGGTCCTTAGCTTTAAATGATCTGGTGAGGGGTGGGACTTATTATGTTGAGGAGTAGGAGGAGGAGGCGGAGGAGGAGGAGTCATCTGCAAAAGTGAGAGTTTTTTTCACCATTATAATGTCTAGCGCTGTTTGACTCTGTTTAAAAAGTTCTTTAAGCGTTGTAGATTTTTCATCGATCATTTTCAGCCAAGCAGCCAGAGGCACACGCAAAGATGTCTGAAAAATCCCACATGTAGAGTTGAAATACTCCAAAACAAAATCATCAGAGGGGTTCTTCCCCCGTGTCACCAAACGGCTTGAGCGGTAATACCATCTACCCGACGGGCCGCTTTTAGTTTCCCAGACGGTGCTTGTCAGGATTCTTTTCACTGGCGGTGGCGGGTGAATATTTTCTTCCTCTTCTTCCACATGGAGGGGTTGCGATGAAAACTCTTCTTTGATCTCGACCACAGTTTGCGTTTCTTTGCTTTTTGATGCAAGTTTCATAGACATTGCACGTACAAGGGATGAATGATTCCACAATGGATCCACAGTGGTTTCTTGATGCACTGCTTTTTCTGATACAACGGTTGCACGGAGATCTCTGGAAGACACCAGAGTTAACACAGCCCAATCTGTTGAGGTCAACGTCGCTTTAACACTGCTGGGTCCATAGGTTTCGCCATTCTTCAGATTGTAGAAGTGCAGTTCGTTCGCCATATAGTTGAACACAAAACCCCAAACATCTCCATTTTCCAGACTCCATTTTTCATGAAGAGCCTCTGCGGGAGGGGTTTGAACCCGACACAGATACTGCATCCGTTTCTTGACCGGCTCCCCCGATGGATGGTGGTAAGTTGTTACCGGCGTCTCGCTGATTAAACCCATATCGATGCGTCTCTTTGCCATTTTTCTTTTCTGAAAGATTAGGTGACTTGTTGAGTGGAAATGACTGGCTTTTATCTAGTTTTGCATAGATTTCTTTTTTTATGACTGACTCCACCCCCTCACTATCTTCTGGCGGGAATATGGAGGGAGGGGTGAGGGCGACAGGGCGGATGTGACACCTGCTGTAAGGAGGGGGTGGGTTGAGAGGGTGGGGGCTGAGAGGGGTGGGGGCTGAGAAGGGTGGGGGCTACGGGGAGGATGTAACACCTGTATGTGAGGGGGAGGGGGGTGGTCTGAGGGGGGTGGGGGCTACCGGTGAGGATGTAACACCTGTACGCGATAACACCTCGAACAAAGGGGCTCATTAGCATATCAAAGGGGGGTCATTAACATAATTAGGGGGCGGGACTTAGAAGGTGTGACCTGTCACTTTTGTATGCATACTAATGAGATTGAAGCGGGATATGTAATACTACTGACACCAAACCAAGTGAGACCTGTCTGTCCGCTGCATCTACCCACACACTGTACCACACACACCTACAGCTCCTAAAGCATCATCAGGCTACAGCCGTTGTGTATTTTATTATGTGAAGCACTAAATGGTTTTAGAAAAATATCGACTTTGTTTGTAGATATCTACTAAACTAAAGCAAATAAAGAGAGTAGGCCTGTTATACTTAAGCAATAGCTCACGACAGGCCGTGGTATATGGCCATTATATCACAGTTAAGGGGCGTGGTTCGGCCCGACGCGAAGCGTCTTCTTCTTCTTCTTCGTAAAGAAGGGGGTCCAGCTCTCGGAGAGCTTTGATCAATAATATTAATAATTTAGTTAGTTATCATAACTGTGATAGTTAGAGTTGTATAAGGCGACAACCCCCTTAACTGTGATATAATGGCCATATTTCACGGCCTGAAGTGAGCTATTGCTTTTATAAAACGGTTACCAAGTGTGGCAATATGAAAGAAAAATACACACTCTAATTTAAATAGTTGTTATTAGTAAATAATGATTTTCAAAATAAAATAGTCCCTCCGTTGCCTTCTGCACGAAACATAGTGCGAGGTGGTTGCTATGCAACAACACTAACAACAGCTAGCGAACATATTAGACAGAGAGCGTTGATCCATTATTTGGCTATTTATTTACATTAATGTGTATGTTGCCGTTTATTGTGCACCCACTGAAAACCTGTCCAGCATCAGTAGCATGTATCTGACGATATCACTCAATCGTCATTGAGTGATATATATTATACACACTGCTCTGCTTTCTGCACGGACCTCACAGCTGTTCTCACTGTAAACATCGCGTCGCGATGAAAGCAGTTAATAAAATAATATCCAGGGGATGCATGCAGAGCTGTCATTGGCTGAGATAAGTCCGGCCGTGCGTCTCGACTCTTTGAAACATCTCTGTTGCCGGAAATGCATCCACGAAGGAGCCGTGGAGGACCGTGGAGGACCCATCAGTGTATCCTCGGTTATAGCTCCTCCAGAGAGCCTCCTCGACGCTCGATCCTCGATCCTCGAAGTGCATTTAGAGAAATTAGATGTCCTTCAACATGGCGCGCTAAAATTCATTTCCGGGTCACTACCGGAGGACCGAGGAGTCGAGGAGGGGGATTTGATGAAATGAGAACGGGCCGAGGTAAACATCAACGGGAACAGCAGAAGAAGACAGACAGGAAGTAAACATCAACGGGAACAGCAGAAGAAGACAGACAGGAAGTAAACAGGCACAGTATGGGCTCTGCAGTGTTTTAATAACATATCTCCCCCCCTGATGTCCATTGGTTTGTATTAAAAACATATGATGTTCAGATTTGTTGTTGTATAAAACAAATGAAAGAAAAGGTGGCTTTAGGGTCTGCGCTGCTGGCTGACGGCGGTCAGACGGCCACATCCCCTGACCAATCAGGTACCGGTAACAATTTAGTACCTGACACCCATCCCTAGTTACTGGTAGCCACAACATGCAGAACTAGCAGGGGCTTTCACACTCTCCAGGTTTTGCTTGTTGAGCTCTTCGTAAAGATGGGGGTCCAGCTCTCTGAGAGCTTTGATCAGAACCCTGCTGGCTTCAACTCCTTTTTGTCCACCACCTCTCGTGCTCCCTCTCGTGCTCCGTCATTTCGGGATTTGGTTCTGGCTGACTCCATTTGAGATTCACTGATCACTTCAGACTCAAAGAGTTTATCCAGAAGGTCCTTCAGGAGAGCTGAAGAAACTCTTTTAATAAACTCTGTCCGAACTGAGCGCAGCCACTTGTCTGCAGGGACTCTGTCCTCTGCAGGGACTCTGCTCTCTGCTGGGACTCTGCTCTCTGCTGGGACTCTGCTCTCTGCTGGGACTCTGCTCTCTGCTGAGACTCTGCTCTCTGCTGAGACTCTGCTCTCTGCTGGGACTCTGCTCTCTGCTGAGACTCTGCTCTCTGCTGGGACTCTGCTCTCTGCTGAGACTCTGCTCTCTGCTGGGACTCTGCTCTCTGCTGAGACTCTGCTCTCTGCTGGGACTCTGCTCTCTGCTGAGACTCTGCTCTCTGCTGAGACTCTGCTCTCTGCTGGGACTCTGCTCTCTGCTGGGACTCTGCTCTCTGCAGGGACTCTGTCCTCTGCTGAGACTCTGCTCTCTGCTGGGACTCTGCTCTCTGCTGAGACTCTGCTCTCTGCTGGGACTCTGCTCTCTGCTGGGACTCTGCTCTCTGCTGAGACTCTGCTCTCTGCTGGGACTCTGCTCTCTGCTGGGACTCTGCTCTCTGCTGGGACTCTGCTCTCTGCTGAGACTCTGCTCTCTGCTGGGCCATTTCTCTGGGACAATTCATGTCTTGGACCTGGTAGATAAACGGGGAAAATACTTTTGTTAACCAACAATCACATTAAACAGATCTCTTAAAAATTAAAGTAACTCGACAATCCCAGAGGTGGATTTCTGTTCACTTAAAGTTATAATATGTAACATTTCCTCATTCAAATGTATAAAAACTCCTACACCTGTATACACAGTACGTTTCATCACGGTCTCCTGTAATGCTGTAATCCACTTAAGCATGAGAAGACTACATCTCCCATGATGCCACGTTGTTTCACCACCACACCACACTAGTTTTTACTATAGTTTTAGAACATTACAGGTTGTCTGTTTAATGTCGTAATGATGCGCTGCCATGGAGCCTTAATAGAGAAGGCTATGAGATGGAGCTTTAGAGTTATCAGTCTATCACTGGGTCTGAGCTCAGGTGGAGTCTTTACCTTCCAGTGACACGAGATAACTCCAGACTACATTTCCATCTTCGTCCTTGACCTTCAAATCCACGGTCTCTGTGCTCGTCTTCAGGGAAACTTGAAATGTCGGATCGTAATCTGGTCCAAAATTTGAGTCAAATTCTTTACTCTGAAAACCAGAAGCAGAAGTTAAAAGTTTATCTGTTTCTTTCCTGATTGTGGATCCACATGCAGATACATGTGTGTTAATGATCATTGTGTTTCTTTAGAGGAGTATCAGAGACTCACCTCAGGCTGAATGAAGAAGCCCTCAGGTTCACAGTGCACACTGTAATCTGTAAACAGTTCCAGCTCACAGCCGGAGGAGATTGTGATGTTCACAGCAGGTCTGTGTTGATCAGTAACCTTCAGTAACAGAGTAACTTTAGTTATGCTCAGATAGTCAAGGCAACTTTATTTAAAGATCACATTAAACAACAACAAACGTTGACAGACCTGCTCCACAAAGTGATGAGATATACAATCAATCACAACATAATTATAAGTATATATTGCCTTTGTAAAGGAATATTAAAAATTGATTATTTTAATTCTTAAGATATTGAAGAAGCTATTCCAACGTTAACCAGAACACAAACCGTCTGTGTCAGTTATACAACACAAAAGGCTGCTGCCCAAGCTGTAAAATGTGGCTGGTAGGGATGAGATCACGTTCTCTTGGCACTCATCATCATCATCAGCTTTATTTAAAGAGACTCTTGGTCCATTTTTTAAAAGACATACAACACTCAAATATAAATAAAAAAAAGGCAGTTATACCAATGTTTCCACAGAGGTGACTGAACATGCGTACAGCACTGAGACATGGATTTGAAAGCAGCATAATGACAGAGTTATGAGAAACATTCAATCGACAGATGAATTTGTACATCAGATTTCTCAAGAGAGCATGGAACGTGTTGACTCGTGCATTACAAAACATTTCACTTGCACTGCACCACCTGGGTTTTATAAGCAGTATACGCAAACAATCATTATAAGCAACCTGGAGCTTCTGGAGGCTCGCCTTCTTAAACTTGACCCACAAGGGGGCAGTATAGAGAGGAGTACAATAAGCTCTAAAGAGGTTCACCTTAACCTTATCTGAACACCAAGAGAATATTAAACATGTTAGCTTGTGTATATAAGACACGCCGCTGTCTATAGATGTCATCATCATCAGCCATTTCATCTGTGATGATGAGTCCCAGATACTTAGTGTTACAGCAAACAGACAGCACCTGCCCTGACAGATAGACTATTGGAAAACCAAGGTTCTTCTCCCCTTTTGCTCTGCAGATCATTACAGCGCTCTTCTTAGCATTGTATTTAACATCAAATTTGATACCATAATCAGAACATATATATGCAGTGATTCATCTCAGCAGGTCTTTCAGCTCTGTGTGATGTGTTTAACATTAATGCCATCAGTTTCCGCAGACAGAGAGACATGCTGAGAGAGAATCATACAAAACCACAAAGAGCGATCTGAAGATTTACAGTTCAGATAGATCTTATTCTTCTCCCAGCACGAGAAGGTTTGAGAAGAGGAGCAGTGTGTGTGGAAACAGCTGTGGTTTAAAACCAGTGTTTAGTCTGATGGTGAGCACATGGCCTTACCTCCTTCTTAGGGACATTTTTCTGCAGCATATGTACATCCAGTATTTGCTCCTCTCTGACCGGGGGTCTTAGGAACACCAGAATCTTGCCCTCTACCCGCAGAAGCAGAAACCTTTTAAAGAAATCCCAGACCAGGCCAAAGAGAGAGAGGTGAGGCACCTTCACCACCACGTGAGTGCGTGTGACCTCCAGCGGCTCCAAGATGCTCAGGCCTTCATCAGTGATGTGGACGACAGACAACAGGCCGTCCAGGAGCAGCGCTGTGGAGCAAAGAGCTGGTCATCTGTTGCATTGCTGCGGAAACAGCTTCATCATATTCAATGTCTCACCACTTTAGTTCAGAGCTAATGTTCATCTAATGTCATTCACTTTGGAGCCTCACTAGGATGTACCAGTTTATATCCTCCACCTTTTATTCTAATGTTTCATTATTGTTCCGCCCCCTGTGATCTTTCTGGATGTGAGCATTTGCTGTTATGCATAAACTTTATTCATTCTTTTTTATTCACAAGACTGCTGAAATGTTTGTAATCTGCTGCCAGAACAGCTTGACTGTGTCCGGTCTCATGTCTGAGTGATTCTCTAGATGTGTGAAGAGTTTTCTAAAGCTTTCAGGGCGTAGAAAGTCTAACTTATAAATGTTGTTGTCTGTTATTTTGTTTTGTACATGGTTCAGCTAGACTGACAATGTAAAGAGCAGAAAGAGCAACAGATGAATAACAAAGTAAGAATTAATCAAACTGCTAGCTTAGCATCACAACAGTAAGAGAGAGTTAGCATTGAGTTAGCACTGTTAGCAGCTGAGCATGCTGTGGACTGACCAATCACAGTTTAAATCTCTTTAATATTACAGTGAGGAGACTGCAGAGGGCTCAAAGAAAAACTAACTCAGTATTTAGAGCTGCATTGCATCGTATGCTTCAATAATGATGTCATGCAACACATCGACTACGGTAAATGGATGTTTTAATAATTTCATTCTTCTTCTTTTGAAACAGATTTGGTGCCTGAATTATACTGTTGCTATATTTGTTAGACTAGTTTAATAAAGCTGCTTTATAAATCTTGAACGCTAGTGAATAGCATAAAGTGCTAATCATTATATAAGTGTATTTGTTAACACTAGATGTCTTTACAGGGTTCTTACACCTTTTCCAAAGTCAAATTCAAGCACTTTTCAAGCATTTTCAAGGTGCATTTTCAAGCTTTTCAAGCATCTTACAGCTGTTATAAATTACATATTTATATACACATACTTAAACTCAAATGATTATTTCCCTACCTCACATTAAATCAGATGTTCTTTATGCTATAAACAACCAAATGTGTGTTTCGTGATAGCATTCTACATGAGGATGAAAAATTTAAAATGTTAGAAAAGAAAACTAAGTTTAATATTTCAAAATGAGTGACCCATCTGTACGTAGACTGGGCATCCCATATAACCTGGCTGAGCCAATATAAAACAATCAGCCAAATAACTTTTCAATACATTATTGATTACTATTTTTGAGGTACTTAGGTTGGCAGTAAACATAAGTCAGAGGTACATGGTGTACTTTGACTCCACTACATGTATTTAATACCTTTAGTTACTTTACAGATGTGGATGAATGATGTGAAATGTAATCAAGTGTTAAATCAGACTTTAGTTCCACCTGGAGTAAATCCACAAGCTACTCTGTAGTATACAAAGTCATTCAAACTAGCTGCACCTTTACCAGCTTTGAGAACACTTTCATGATCAATCATTATAAAACATATCATATACAATTATTAGGGATGCTCCGATCGCCAATTTTGGAGCCGATCGCCGGAATCAGTATCGGCCGATACCAAGCCCCCAGGAAGTGCGCCGGACTCTGATGAAAATATTCGTGCTGGCCAAACGGCGGTACTACACTTCCTTTTGGTTGCCAGGCCCGGAAACACTTTTTCCCATTGACTTACATGGGGAAAGAGTGGTCTGTAAATCGTTGGATAATTTTTTTTAAACTAAATAAACTACCCAGTATGAACACTTGTATAGCCCTTATTAAAAACATTCGTTCCTCAAGTTGTAAAATGTGCTAATAACGTTATTCTGAGAGTTATTTCCCTCTGCATTATGAACGCGCATCTAACCCACGGGACCGCGCCGCCCGGCACGTTCATGTTACGTGTTCAGCACTACATGCGTTTATCTTTACCCATGGATGCACAATAAGAACGGACCCATATCGCCTTACTGCCAGCCCACGGAGCTGTAATAATGGATATATTGCACATGTTTGCTGTAATTCATCATTTGTAAAATATTATACTACATGGGCTGTAGGCTATGATTAAATCTTGTACCGTAAATGTTGTATTAAGTAAAGTTAATATTACCGACGTAGATTAACGTCCCTGTAGCTTCTTATTGCACTAAGAAGCTTATTGCACTGTATGTATATATACATACAGTGCAATAATTCTTTCATGCTAAATGAAGCTCTGTTGCTTGGATATCACTAGATCCTGTTACAGCGTAATATAAAAGTACATAACGATTGATGTGTAAATTAGCATAATTACTAGCTAACCGCTAGCTGCTAACTGCCGCCTCGTTAATATAAAATCTATCATAACAAACATTACCATGCTGTCATGAACGTGCGGTGCTGTTACGTGTATGCAAATTGACGTGCTTCATGTGAACGAGCATTTTGGGGGGCATGGTTAAAGTTGCGCATGCGCTATGAGCGCACTTACGGGTACTTCTCAGGCATGCCGGGTAATCTGTGACGTTTCGCTCTCTCAAAAGTTGGGCCATTTTATCATCATGCGCGAATGAGCAACTCTCATAGGAATGAATGAGGCCTCGCCTCCCACGCTGTATCCAGTTTTTATTATACATCCATGGCCGATACCGATACCGCTCTCTTTTCCTCTCTCCCCCTCTCTCTCTCTCTCCTGACAGCCCGTCAGTATCTCCTGCAGCTCACTGATCCAGTAATGAGCGACCCGACAGTGAAGAATAAATATATTTATAACTAGTTTAGCTTGTTCGAGAGGTAGATCAAATAGCTAAGTGTGTTAGGTCTAACTCTTAATGTGTGTTCTGCTCCGCTCACCGGTCCGTCACAGCGGGTGGAGCTGCAGGATTTCTGCTTCACACACACGTTGCATACCGCTATTTTATTGTCATTTTCGGACACTTAAAATACTGCCAGACTAGTGAAGCCATTTTGGCGAGCTTGTTTTGCCGCGCACAGAGAAAAGTGTCATGTATTTTACATGCAACGATAGCCTAATCTAAAATGCTCTACTACGGCGTACCTTTCGTGTGGTGTGTGGCGCAGACTCTCGCATCGTTATTGTTGCACACTTTGCAGGAGGCTACTCTTGGGCTTCGCTTGACCCTCGTCTTAGCCATGGCTTGTATTTGTCTTCTGCTAGCCAACGCTCGTTGAAACGGCAACCTCCTGGCATACTGTCATCTATCACTCTCATCAGAATGCCCAGGTCACACACGTAACAAAAACACTTGCAGGTCACGCGCAATGCGCGGGAAGGCCGGAGCGGAGCTGTTTTATGTAAAAGCGAAGCAATTAAGCGCGCTCCGACTTCTTTATTTTCTTTTAATCTAAAAAGCGAAGTAAAGCATTTACAATTTCAAGCACTTTATCCCAAATTCAAGCACCATTCCCAAAATTCAAGCACTTTTCAAACCTTGAAAACACCTCGTACAATTTCAAGCATTTTCAAGGATTTCCAGCACCCGTACGCACCCTGCTTTACCTTCCTCTGTCTCACTGTGTGGCAGGTGGAGCTGGCAGACGGCAGCTTCATCAGAACTCTTCACGTTGAACAGCGGCCCTGCTGCCGTCTTGCCAGCTGATTGGAGGAAGCTCTCATCCCAAGGGACCGTCCTGTACAGAAGCTCCGCCTCCTGAGCCATTACGAACACCAGGCCAGTCGAATCACACTGGAACTCACCTGGACCAGGACACCTGAACCTGTAGACACACAGGGGACAGGTTACTACAACAAGCCTTCATCGGCCTGTGTTCTGACTGACAGGTGTTCATCCAGCTGGAGTCTGACCTGGAGGAGGCTTTGTTGAAAGATCTGAAACACCTGATGATTACAGGAACATCACTGAAGATGTGTCCACATGCATCAGGATGTGTGTAAACACATTTTCATTAAATTAACAAAACGTCTAGTCCAGCGAGGATCTGGACTGGAACAAGAAAACAATCCTTCCTACACACAGAGGCATTATTTTATTAACGTCTGTTGGAAAGAGATTGGATGCAATAGCTCAAGGTGAAAGACATGAAATCAAACACAATTAAATGAATATATATTTGTCATGTGTTTAAAATAATGTTTGGTCATGTTATAGGATTACCTGTATGAAGACTCAGTTGTGTGTTCAGGTGAGAAGGATTCAGGAGCCTGGAACAAACAAAGTTAGTTGTTTTAATAGAAATCAAGTTAAGTTCTAGCTTCATGAAACCAAACCACAATTCCACAACATATTCAGACCAATTTGAAAAATGCAAATGAGTCTGGATCATCTGAGTTCATCGTCAATTTCAAACGGGTTATTAACGGGTTAGCATGTCACAGCAGTTCCAGCCAATCACAGCACAGTAGTACCAGCCAATCACAGCACGGTATTACCAGCCAATCACAGCACAGTAGTACCAGCCAATCACAGCACAGTATTGCCAGCCAATCACAGCAACAGCCAATCACAGCACATTGGGGCGGGGATATTGTTTAGGTTTCTAGATACATTGCGAGCGTTAGTGCATTTAACTTGACAGCCCTGATAATTATATTTCATTCAGTGGTGAAATAAATATACTTCACTCTGTACAACTGCTCCTCTCTCACCTTTCTGTCCGTCTTCACTTCCTGTTCCACATCGGAGTCACCTGATGGAGAGGTGGTGACAGAGAAAAATAATAATAAAACTATAATAATAATTCTTCTATAACAGATTTAATGTACAATAGTTTGATGAATGGAGGATATGGTTTCAGTACTCACAGGTCTTCTGGATCTTGGCTCTGATCGTCTTTCCTCTGATCCTGCAGGGATGAACACAATCCAACAGTTTTGGATAAAGTTTAAAATAAGTGTTTGTTCTTTGAGTTAGTCAGCTTCAGAGTCCTGACTGATCTCATGCTTTACATCCCATCATATCTTCTCTGCAAACACTACGACTGACTGCCACAGCTCTCAGCTGCATCACAGGAAGTAACTGCTCATTAGGCTAGAAACTAAAAACATGACAGGAAACAAAAGAGAAAACCTTTTCCACTCTTCTGTAAAATCCTATATGTCTGTTAGAAAGTTACTAACTAACTAAATGTGGCTTTGCATTTTCAGCTTACGATATATAGTTGATGGAAGAATGAAAGAGCCTGCAGTCAGTGAGTAACATCACTGATCTGTTGTGATTCCCCAGAGAGAGAAACACCTCCATGTGTTTAATACAATACTGCTGAACCAGCAGAGAACCCTTACTGACCTGAGAGTCTCCAGTCTGCAGTCTGGACTCTCCACAAGATCTCTCAGCAGCTTCTCTCCTGAATCATGCAGAGCGTTCCCATTCAGGTCCAGATCTCTCAGATGGATGTTGGACTTCAGAGCTGAGGCCAGAGCAGAACAGCTGATCTCTGACAAACTGCAGCCCATCAGTCTGAATAAAGAAAACATGATGTAACTTTAGAAAACAATGTTCCTGTTTGAAATAACTCAAGGTTTAATAATCTGCTCAGAGCTGAAGAAGGTTAGAAAGTGGAAACTCCAAACAGGTTAAAAACTGTAAGATACAGAAAGAGGAAAAGAGCTCTCATTAATATTAAAGACAACATGCTTCTACTTCAATAAAACGAGGAGACTTCACATCTGAAGCTCTGCTCCATCTACACTAACTCATGATGTGCAGCCAGACAAATACAAACCACAGAATCTGATTCAACTCAAGATCACAACGTTTACAAAGATCACAATTCAGGATGAATTTTAAATGTGAAGAAAAACATCCAGAATATGTATTTTAGGAACAGTGGAGTCATCAAATCACAGCTTCTTCAGAGTAAACTATTCAGTCAGTATGAGCATCATATAGCTTCAGGAACATGTTAGAAACAGCAACAACTGAACATACTTGTTAGTGTTGGATAGTTTTAATATAATTATTTAATTATTGTATTTGATATCATTTGATAAAATCATGATGGAGAATACAAGATGAATTTCAGCTGTTTAAAAGGTTCAGAGTGAATTCTGCAGTGAAGGTTCTTTGTTGTTATATTTAAATGTAAAGATCAACATTGCATTATGCAACTCTAGCATTAAGATGCTCAGTGAGGATCAGAGTGATATCAGCCTGATGTCTGCAGCTCAGAGTCAACACAACTCTCACAGATTCATCTCAGCACACAAGTTACAGATGGAGAACTGACTTGAGAGTCTCCAGTCTGCAGTCTGGACTCTCCAGAAGATCTCTCAGCAGCTCCACTCCTGAATCCTGCAGATCGTTGAGACTCAGGTCCAGATCTCTCAGATGGATGTTGGACTTCAGAGCTGAGATCAGAGCAGAACAGCTGATCTCTGACAAACTGCAGCTCAACAGTCTGAATAAAGAAAACATGATGAGGATGAAAATCTGTTTATAATCCAATCAGATGTTCAGGTTTATTAAGTGTAGCTCAACATTCCTGTCTCCTAATCAATGAGCTTTTCCCTGAATTACAGTGACTGTCATTCTGTTATTGTGGATCATCATAATATCAGCTTTCTGTTTATTATCTGTGAAAACATTGAAATCAATGGGAAGCAAGAAAAACATGTATGCTTCAGAGATCAATGTAAAACTAATATTAGTTCAGATGAACTTCTTTATTCAGATGTGACCATTTACTAAAGACAACATACATTTACTTTAACAACTAACAGTGGATATCTAACATATATATTTGAAGAAACAGTCAACTTTTATGACTGCAGACTAAATGTAGTACAAGAAAATAAGAATATGAACAAAAGGACTGTGGCAGTGGGGTGTGGTTAGAGCGCCGGCTGCTGGAGGGATGGGGGTGGCTCCAGACAGCTGGACAAGGATCAGGTAACCAGGTGAACAGTAAAGCATGTCAGTAACCTGGTTCTTGTCTCTTGGTCTGGGTCCTGGGGGCAGAATGACTTGCCCCAAGAAAGCCTGTCACTGGCAGCAGTGTTCTGTCTGTTTCCTAAAGTATTGATGTATTGTTTGCAAGCTGTGGCCAGTCAATACAGCTTTCTTTTAAGCAAGCCTTCCTCTCCTTCTGTCCTTTTTAACTGGGTGAGCAGGAAAATCCTCACAACGACATATACACATGTATGGTTGTTCAAGCATTAGGTTCAACTGTTAATGAAACACATGAGATCTCCAGCAGTAACAGAGAGTCAGTGAACTGACCTGAGAGTCTCCAGTCTGCAGTCTGGACTCTCCAGAAGATCTCTCAGCAGCTCCACTCCTGAATCCTCCAGATTGTTGCCTCTCAGGTTCAGATGTCTCAGATGGATGTTGGACTTCAGAGCTGAGATCAGAGCAGAACAGCTGATCTCTGACAAACTGCAGCACCTCAGTCTGAATAAAGAAAACATGATGTAACTTTAGAAAACAATGTTCCTGTTTGAAATAACTCAATGTTTTAATAATCTGATCAGAGCTGAACAATGTTTTAACGTCAGCAATGATGTAGAAACAAATCCCTGATCATCTGGAACTCTCTGCAGCAGTTTCTCTCATCAGATGTTTAACAACTCCTTCATCTCCCTCACAGCTCATCAGTACTGACAGCATCTCCACTGACTCATGGAGCACAGAGTGAGTCTGTGGAAGCTCAAACACTCTCCGTCACACATTCACCTTCTCTGATCTTTGCTATTCTTAAAGTTTGGATTCCATTTCCATTTGGAAATACAGAAATAAATAAAAGCATTAAAATGTCTTCAGGCAAATTCTGAAAATCATAAATACAAACAGATCTGTATGAACTGCAGTCAGTGAACTGACCTGAGAGCCTCCAGTCTGCAGTTTGGACTCTTTAGTCCAGAAATCAGCATCTCCACTCCTGAATCCTGGAGAGGGTTCCAACTCAGGTCCAGCTCTCTCAGGTGAGAGGGGTCAGACTTCAGAGCTGAGGCCACGACTTCACATTCAGTCTCTGAGAGTCCACAGTTAGAAAGTCTATAATGACACATATCACAACTTGTGTTAGTATAAAAACAGAGGAAACATTTAATTAACTTACTGAATTTGAAATGGAACAACTTTTAACATATTATGAAAATGTAATTTAATAATAGAGTTTTTTTTATTCATTGTCAGCCTGTCAGACATTATTTTAAACTCTTAAGCATTGTGGTAAAAACAGATCTGATTTCATGTTTAAGAAACTGCAATGATATATTAATAACTGCTTTCAACGATAACTGTAAATACTGCTGTATGTTGTGATCACATGCTGCTCTGATAAAACCTCTAAAGTCCTTCATTTGTTTGACATGTCGCCTCCATCACTCAAAATAATGTGAAGAAAAGAAAAAAAATGTAAAATGTCACAATATATAAATAGAATAACTGGATCATTTAATTTTGCACTGAGAGTATTTAACATCAAACATTTTATTGTGTTTATTTGAAGAAATAAACTTCTGATCCACATCAATTCATAAAGCTAATCACATCTGGACTTACTTGGCCTTCCTGCAGTTCCTCACAGCTGGAATCAGTCTCCGTCGTCCCTCCTCTGATGTGTGGTACTTCATCAGGTCCAACTCATCCAGAACCTCCTCTGACATCTGCAGCATGTAGGCCAGAGCAGAGCAGTGGATCACAGAGAGTTCCTTCTCTGATCTGTTCTTTGACTTCAGGAACTCTGTGATCTCCTGATATACTGAGTGGTCCTTCATCTCTGTCAGACAGTGGAAGATGTTGATCATCCTGTCAGGAGAGATTTCATCACTGCTCATCTCCTTCAGGTTGTTGATGGCTCTCTGGATGATTTCTGGACTGTTGTCTGTGCGACCCAGCAGGCCTCCTAACAGTCTCTGGTTGGACCCCAGAGAGAGGCCGTGGAGAAAGCGGACAAACAGGTCCAGGTGGCCATTTTCACTTCTGAGGGATTTCTCCATGGCTCTCTTCAGGAAGACATCCAGGGAGGGGTAATCATCATCACTGTTTTTACTGTTCTCATCGGGCCAGTCTCCCTGCAGGAAGTCCTTCAGTACCGCTGTGTCTCTGTTGGTGTAACAGTGGAACAAGTAGACTGCAGCCAGAAACTCCTGAATGCTCAGATGAACAAAGCAGTAGACTGTTTTCTGGAAGATCAAACTCTCTCTTTTGAAGATCTCTGTACAAACTCCTGATTGCACCAAGGCCTCGGTGACACCAAGACCACAGCGCTGCAGGTCTTCTTGGTAGAACATGATGTCTCCTTTCTCCAGATGTTCAAACGCCAGCCTCCCCAGCTTCAGAAGAACCTCCCTGTCAGCCTCCGTCAGCTGCTGTGGACTCGTCTCATGTCCCGCTTCATACTTCTGCTTCTTCCTCTTGGTCTGGACCAGCAGGAAGTGTGAGTACATGTCAGTGAGGGTCTGGGGCAGCTCTCCTCTCTGGTCTGTAGTCAACATGTGGTCCAGAACTGCAGCAGTGATCCAGCAGAAGACTGGGATCAGACACATGATGTGGAGGCTCCTGGAGCTCTTGATGTGAGAGATGATTCTGCTGGACAGGTCTTCATCACTCGATCTCCTCCTGAAGTACTCCTCCTTCTGGGCGTCAGTGAAGCCTCGTACTTCTGTTACCCTGTCCACACACTCAGGAGGGATCTGATTGGCCGCTGCAGGTCTGGAAGTTATCCAGACGAGAGCCGAGGGAAGCAGCTTCCCCCTGATGAGGTTTGTCAGCAGCACGTTGACTGAGGACTGCTGTGAAACATCAGACACAACCTCATTGTTTCTGAAGTCCAGAGAAAGTCTGCTTTCATCCAGGCCGTCAAAGATGAGCAGCACTTTGCAGACAGCCAGCTGCTCTGCTGTGACCTTCTGTAAGGTTGGATGGAAAGCATGGAGCATCCTGAGAAGACTGTACTGCTTACCTTTGATCAGGTTCAGCTCCCTGAAGGAGAGCGGGATCACCAGACTGACATCTTGGTTTCCCAAACCCTCGGCCCAGTCCAGAGTGAACTTCTGCACTGAGAAGGTTTTTCCAACTCCAGCGACTCCGTTGGTCAGGACCGCTCTGATGAGAGTCTGTTGGTCAGGTAAGGCTTTAAAGATGTCCTGGCACTTGATTGGAGTTTCATGGAGGGTCTCTTTCTTGGAAGCTGTCTCCAGCTGCCTCACTTCATGTTGGGTATTAACCTCTTCACTCTGGCCTTGTGTGATGTAGAGCTCAGTGAAGATCCTGTTGAGGAGGGTTTCACTTTGATCAGTTCCTTCTGTCACACGTTCACATCTCCTCCTCAGACTGAGCCTATGTTCATCTAAAACCTCCTGCAGACCACTATCTGCTGGAAGAGAAGGAAACATGAGAGAATCAGGAAAATGCTTTTGAGAATCTGAACAGTCAGGGTTTTAAATATCATGATTTTTATAAAACATTTTAATGTCTATACTTTACAACACAAAAGAATCCTGGACATGAAGACTCCAGAAGGAACCACAAATACTAGCTGCCAGATATTTATACTATCATACGTAGATGTTATATAAGTGCTGGGCTAATGTAGTATTGTCTGAGTAAGACAGAAAGCGTTTTTTAGGGAAACACTGCTGTCCCACGTGAAATATTTGTGTACACACTTTAAAACCAAAGCCTTGAAGAAGGGATCAGATGATACAGTGTTTCTATAGAAGAGTAGACACCCAGCACCCAGACAGAGGTAAAGAGGCTGCACGTGTTCGGCCTCTTACTTTGTAAAATGCTCCATCTTTCTCCACACTGAGGACAGCAGGAGTCTCCTGATGGAGGAAGCTGCTCCCAGTATGAGGCGATGCACTCTCTGCAGAACCAGTGTCCACAGCTGGTAGAGACTGGATCCTTCAGGACGTCCTGACACAGAGCACAGCTGGACAGCTGCTGCTCCACAGGAACACCACTCTTCCTCTTCCCTCTGTGGAGATGAACACATCCTTTACAGCACTTTACATTAGTGGAGCTGATTCTCACCAAAGGTACAACAATGTGGCAAATTATAGTTTCATATTTAAATTATAATGAGATTATATTTCATCATGATAAGGTAGATAGTGGTTAGTTATTCATATCATTAGGAAACAAAACAGCTTTGTGTCTGGATTCATAACATCAGCTGAATTAATCTGGTACACTTTAGCACTTTGAACCCAATTTACATTGAATTTGCTGTGAATACATTTCAATAAACATATGGAAAGGATGCCGAAATAACAACGTAATGATAGTGATTTGTAAAAAGCCAGAGTTAATGCTTCGTCAGGTCTGTCTGCAACACAACGAGCAAAACACTTTAAAATGTTTGTTTTCTGAATGGAGATCTCTTTGATTAAAGCTAGGCTTGGCTAACATTGTAGCTGATCCATCAACACTCAAAATAACTCCATCCAGTCATTAGAACAGCAGCTATTATATTGTTAGCACCACAGACAGTCTCTGGTTTATCCAGGTACATGAATAACCCTGATTTAATATGAGGTGCTGTAGAGCTCTGGGTGCTGATGTTCCCTCTTCTGATTGATCTCAGCATGTCAGTGACGACAGGAGCAGAATCTCAACACTGTTTTTGTAACAGAGCGTCACAAACTTTACACTCAAGTTGTAACTTTTCAAGTTGTGTGAATACACGGGGGATATGAATGTTGCTTCTTCACTTCATTCGTGTTGCCAGGTACACATGTGTGTCTTTGTATTGACTCTACATGTAATCAGTTACATCTGATAATGCTAAACACAACCAGCTCACCAGGTTATTACTATTATTAATAAACCTCTTCAAATACGTCTAAAAAAGATGCTGAGGTAGTCAACTCATTTGTTGGAAGATTTATATTGTTTCAAGTATTATTGTCATTTTAAGAACATGTCATAACACTGATACATTGATAATATAATAGCATATTGAAATATCCTAAACTATTGTTAACTGTCCTCTTCGTCCTTGTTGACTGAACTTTAATGCTTTTATTGGTGGCTTGTTATTACAATTCATTTGTGAAGTTTCACATGTTTGTATTTGATTTGCTTAACCAGAGGTCCTACATGTGGAGAGAGAGTGTTATTTTACTGGAGTAGTTTACTTAGTTCTCTACTGCCTTTCTTTTTGTACTTTACTGCAAATCTTTACTCTAATCTATTGCATTTCTGTACTTCATTCTACAGAGGGTCTGTACTCTACTGCGCTCATGTAATTATGAAAGAAAAGTTTAGATTATACGATTATATATAAAATCTGAATCCTCTTGAGGTCAGGTTACAGTAGAAACTCTTACTTTGTGTCTGAGGGTCCGGGTTCATCTCTGAAGTCTGGAGGTTCCTCTTCAGACCGGTCACTCTTCATAGACAGACAGCTGGGGACTGGAGACTCTGCTCTCCTTCTGTGGAAACAACACATGTTTTGCACTTCATCAGTTCATTCAAAGAGCAGCTTTTGACTTCTGTCTGTTCACCTGATTAAAGATTGTTGGACTTGCTCTGAACTGAATCTAATGAATTACATTGCGTTACATAAAACTGGATCCTCTCCAGGTCAGGTCCCAGTAGAAACTCTTACTTTGTGTCTGAGGGTCCAGGTTCATTACTGAAGTCTTTAGACCGCTCACTCTTAATTGGGTGCATGCCAGAATCAGGAGAAGCTGCTCTCAGTCTGTGGAAACAACACATATTTTACACATATTATTTAGTTCTTGTAAAGAGCAGAGGTAATATGAACATGACACTTGATTGGCTAATCCTTCAATCTTCTTGCCTAGTTAGGTTTGCCTCCTTGATTTGACTTCTGTCTGTTCAACGGATGAACATTTTTGGACTTGTGCTAAACTTTCTGTTTGTTAGTCGTGCTTCTTGGTTTCTGTCGTTACAGTTCAGTGAAAAGTTTTACGTTTGAAGTTGATTTACTTGACTTAAAGTGGACCTATCATGCTATATTTAAATGATATATTGTAGGGCCATACCTATATAAGGTATATTTATAAGTTTCTGTTTTCAAAATACCAAACAGATCACGCATTTTAGCCATGCCTCATTTCGCTCTATGTGCTGTTTGCTGTCTACGGGGCTGATTCTGTGAGACCACGCCCCCCTGCAGGAGAGGGGAGCCGTGCTCTGATCAAGTCAAGAGGGGGAGAAAAAGAGATCTCCGTCCTCCCTGTTTTATTATATAGAGTCGTTATTCATTTCTTTTAAAGCTCAATAAATAACAAAGAAGACCTTTGACCGGCACTTATCTAATTTTGTCCGGAAGATTTAAACTTTAACGGACATCTTGACCGGCGAAAGTAACTGAAACTGAAACTCTGCCGCACGGTCCCCTCGTTCCTTGGAAGAGGCGGAGAGGTGGGTGTTTGTCATCTGCTGGTGGACTAACCGGAGAGAATTACAGTGCTTGCCTCGACGGGGAGGGATTGCATTGAATTAAAGCAGCGGGAGCAAACGCTTGCCTCGGGGAGGGAGAAAGAAAGCCACAGCGGAGAATAAACAGAAGGGTAACCATGGTTACCATATGCGCGGGAAGTCTTCTTCGCTGCTTTTGTGGCAGACTACAGCGCCACTTACAGGCCTGGCATATGTACTACAGCGTCTCCAGCGCTTTCGAGCGTCAATGGCCGGCCATGGCCCAACCCCACATTCCCCTGATAGGTGGAGAGTTGGCCCAATAGCCGTAGCGCCACCGTCCTGACGTCAGTAACGTGTTCAAATCTGGATCAGTTTTTATCAGATCCGTTGCAGCCCCTTTTTTAGAGATTTGGGTATGGAGGAAAATAGAGAGGGTTGTGTTTTCTGACACTTGGTGAGTTCCCTGGAACACCGGGGACACATATTCATGTAGAAAAGACGTACAAAAGTGCATTTTGCATGATAGGTCCCCTTTAAGTATATAAATTGTTATAGTTAAATTCAACTTCTTTACTGTAATCTACTGTGTTTCTTTATTATACTCTACTGCAGTGTTTCTGTACTGTGTTCATGTAATTACTAATCAACAAGTTATATTATCTGATCATTTAATAACTGAATCCTCTTCAGGTCAGTTCACAGCAGAAACAGTCTCTTACTTCCTGTCTGAGGGTCCGGGTTCATCTCTGAAGTC